GCATCCAACCATCCAACCGGGCATCCAACCATCCAACCAGCCCCAGTGAGGATGGATGAACTCCTCCATCAACACTCATTTAATAAATTAGATAATTATAATAATTTAAAGAGGAACAGATCGTTTTTCCTTCATTTCTCTTCAGGTTGATTTTCTGTTACCAATAAAATAATAACATTAAGAATAAACAGTTTTAAAAACAGAAATGTTGTTTAACTGCTTAAAGTTTGTTTTCAAACTTGCTGATCGATTAATTAATTTATTGATGTGACAGGATCAGTCTGCACATCAATGACTTATCGTCTGACCTCGGATCAGCTGAAAGAGCAGATTTTCACACGTTGAGCTGCTGATGAAAAACAGGATCAGCTGACAGATGGCGCACAAACACTCTGAAACAACCACACACACACACAGTGTGAGTGCAGCGTTGTGAAGCTCAGCAGCTTTTCGGGTCCGTCTGGAACCGGAACCAATTCTTCCTGCAGAGTTTAACTCTGAATAAAACTCTGAGTTTATATTTTAATTATTTTGATCAATAACAGAGATTCATACTATAGACGTGAACAAAGTTCTGATCAGGCAGAACATTGGACCCCCAGGTACTGAATAAAACATGAACACATCTGGACTAAGAAATTCCCAAACGATCAGGAATTCTGGTTCTGATCCGTTTTATTCCAGTTTAAAAACGTTTCATCTTTTGGTTTTTGCACAACTTTAAAATTTGAACTGAATAATAAAAACTGTAGATAATGTAAAAGATCAAAGCTTCCAGTTAATTAAATGGCATAATGATGATGTCATCATCATCATGTCATCATCATGTGACTCACTTGATGTTGGAGCTGAAGACGTTCAGAGCTGGAGGATCAAATCCGTTCATCCTGCGGCACAGCGACGCTCAGCTGGAAAACACACACACACACACACACACACACACACACACACACACACACACACACACGTCAGGGACACAACCAGAACCAGAACCATCCAGGTGTAAAGAACAGCAGCACCTAAACTCCCAGCAGCTCTTCGCCTTTGGCCTGAGAAATCTTGATTTGTTTTTTTCCTTCCACCAAACTTTCCCCTCACTTCCTGCTGGTATCTAATTTAGTGCTGAACTTTTTCTTTGAACTTCAGAGAAATATAATAGTGAAGGGACTGAACCTCTAGTTTAACGCTGCTGATCAGTTATTGATCCCTAATTGATCCATCACCCTGAACGTCGGTTCTCTCTGGATCAATTTCAGTCTGAAGCGTTTACTGTTGCTGATCCGCTGAAAAACAGCAAACCTCCTCACCACGCTTCACGTTCCTGAACCCATTGCTGGCCCATGTGACAGTTCCGACCCGTCAGAACCTCCCATCCAGGCTGAATGAACCCAGAGCTGATTTATGATCCAGTCTGCACCTTCAGCCACGTGTGATTACTTTTCCCAGGACTGGCTTTTATTCCCAGCCCGTTTCCATGGAAACCTGACTGTATCTCTGCAGAGCCGCCTGCAAGGCGGCGATTAGGGAGGAAAAGCCCACAGCCAGACAAAACAGAGGGACAGCAGAACACACATTTAACAGAACCAGGACCGGCTGGAACGGAACCAGGACCGGCTGGAACGGAACCAGGACCGGCTGGAACGGAACCAGGACCCGTTTAAAAGCATTCTGGAATGTTTTTCAACTGGACCTGATCCGGTTTAAACAGTTTATAATCGGATCGCTTTTTCTCGTAATATTACAACTTTATTTTTGTAATATCTAAAATTGTAATACAATTTCTTGCATTATTACAACAATTATTCTCCAATTTGTACGATTTCCTCGTATTACTGCGACTTTATTCTGGAAGAACAACAACAATGATTTTATATTGCTACAAATTTGACCTCATTTTATTTGGACTTTGTCGTAAAACTTTCCGAATTATTTCTGTTATCATACGACTTTTTTTCTGGTAACATTATTACCAGAAGCTCACCTCACAGCCAAACTGTAAATTCTAATTTTTTCCTGACCAGTGAACGCACCATGCTAGCATGCAGCTACAGGAGGAACAAACAGGAACTTCCCTCAGCCAACAAGAGGAAGACATGCTCTACTTCCTCCAAAACACCTGCCACCCCAATGCCCCGCCCCTCTGATGATGTCATAGCATTTACTGGACGTTTATTAATAAAGAGTGGGGGTCAAAGGTCAGTGGTTCCTCCTGTTTGTTCTGGGTGGAGAAAGTGAACGCTCCCACATGGTTCCTCCTGACGACAGTTTTTATCTGAAGAGGAACTCAGAGGGACACACACACACACACACACATGGAGCCAGTCAGTGGTGTGTGAATCAGCTCCAAGCTGCAGGTCTCCTTCATGTTCTGTTTACCTGGATTTCAGCGGGGGAGGTGATTGCTGTGTGTGTGTGTGTGTGTGTGGTCAGAGTCCACATGAGTGTAAATCTTTTCAATCCTCTTTAGTTTCCACCACAGAACTGAAACTCTCAGCAGCTTTGTTCTCTTTGTTTCTGGTCCGATTGAAGTGGAGCGACCCGGTACATGACCAGGTACAAACACCTGAACAGGTATGAATACCTCCCCTGACTGGAACCAACTTGTGGTAGATCACGTGTCAAACTAAAAGCCCAGAGCCACAATATTATTTTATCAATCAAATCAAACAGTTTTTATCAAATTCCATCAACCCGTCTCTCCAGTTTGTCACAGGAATTCTCACAAAATCCACAGACCCCCACACTTTCTAGCGCTAATGAATAATTGTGAGCTTATTGCAGATTTTCAGCAAAAATGGTGCCCAACATTCAGTCTAAGCGATGCTAACTCCCACCTGCAGGGGGCAGTGTTTTTTTCTTCTACTTCCCCGCCAACTTCATGTCAAGTTACTGTCCGTGATTGCTGCAAGTCCAACCTCACTAAAAAAAAAAAAAGTCCACCTCGCTGCAGCAGACAGAGCGGCGGGACGGACCGCTGTCAGTCTCAGACCTTATTTGGAAATGGGACCATTTTACTCCGGAAGTGAAGGAGCGCCTATATTCCCTATATTATCCGCGGTCTCCCGTTTTTATTTTCTTTTTAATCAAATCTGTGATGCATCTTCATCTTTGGGAAGGAGTTTCACTCTCAGCGTGTATTTGATTTTTTCTCTTTTATTTAATTCAGCCCAGCTCACAGTTTTCAACTAATTCTGTAGCTTTCTGTGTACTGCTAAATCTCTCCTTAGGGTTAACAGAACAATAATCTGGTTGTTAAACAGATACAAGTAAAAATTCACATTTTTGCTTTTACTGTGCCATATTCTGAGACTTCTTGATGGTAGAGTCTTATATACAGTAAAAAATATGATGAAACTATTTAATTTACCATGGTGGAAATTTTCCTTCAACTCTGATCAAATAAAACACATTCATAGAATCACAATAGTTATACAATAGTTAAAAGCTGTGAGCTGCACTGCAGTGAATGAAAGAGAGAAATTCAAATACACGCTGAGTGAAACTCCTTCCCAAAGATGAAGATGCATCACAGATTTCAAAAGAAAATAAAACCGGGAGACCGCGGATAATATAGGAAATAGCGCCCCCTTCACTTCCAGATTGAAAAGGTCCCATTTCCAAATAAGGTCCGAGACTGACAGTGGTCTGTTTGCTGCTGCGAGGTCCTTCTCGGTTGATGTTGCGAGTGACAAAAAGCGGCATTTACCGTCATACTTAAACGCAAATTTCGCAAAATTTCTTGCAAATATTTCTAAATTAGCTTCAGAAAATCAATGAAGTGCTTTTTGAATGCCATTTCTTAATGTTTTAGTAGTTTAATGGGTTTTATATATTCTGACTCAACTAGCTCTTGAAGAAAGTGAGGATGTTTGACTCACTGGTCTGCACCTCCGTTTCCCCTCTGATCCGCCATCTTTGTTTCTTTAGACAGGCATCATAGCCTAGCCTAGCTTTTCCTTTTTCCGTTGTTGATTCTAGGCTTTTCTTTCTTTCTCTGGTGATTTTCCAGGAGCGCTTCGGTCACCAGTGCTGGTTGAGCGATAAATAAATCAATAAGTCATCAGAAATCATCAGATCTGAGCCGGGACAGAAGGAACCTGGTTCTGGTCCGGTCTCTGGACTTCCCCTCCAGTCATTCATTAAGAGATGACAAATTACCCGTTAACACAACCCACGACCCTGTGCTGCTTATCGGCTAATCATTACACAGCTATTCATCAGCCTGGGCTCAGCAGAACCACAGAACCAGAACCAGAAGTTCTACAGGTCAGTTTGAACCAGAACCTGAGAGGTTTTACAATTCTGATCAGAGGCAGAACTATGACACAATCCCAGTTTAACTTGGGAGGATTTTTCCAGATTTTCTTCCAGAAGCATTTAACTCAGAACCTGGTGGTTCTGACCCGGTGCGACAATCAGAACCTGGTGGTTCTGACCCGGTGCGACAATCAGAACCTGGTGGTTCTGACCCGGTGCGACAATCAGAACCTGGTGGTTCTGACCCAGCTCTTGTGTTGTTCTGCTGATTTATTGTCCTGGTGTGGATGTAATTCTTAGAACCATTTAAGCTCCGATTCGGGCTCCGTTTGGGTCCGGTTCGGGTTCTGGCCGTCCTCCATTCGTCCCACTCCCATTTCAAAAGCAGAGGATGGGAAGCACTGGGATCACTGGGTTTACTGGGTCGGCCCGATCGGTCTATTGACAGAGCCGATTGATTAGAACCTCCAGAATCCAGGCCGACCGGGCCTCTTTAGCCCAGTAACCTACATGCAGCCTGCCCATGGGCCTGGGACCAGAACCACCTGCAGGCCCAGACCAGAACCTCCAGAATCATTGACTCAGCCTCTTAAAGGAACCAGAACCCATACAGACCCAACTCTTCCTCACATAGAACCAGTGAGGTTCTGTCCGCTCTCAGACCAGTTCTGTTTGGATCTATGATCAGGACGATGCTCACTGTTCAACAGATCAACCAGTACCAGAACCAGATCAGTCCAAAACAAGTTCAGAACCGATAGGAGTCTTCTGGACAGGTTCTGATCGGTTCTGATCCGCTCAGGGTTCTGTCTGATGAAACAAGTCATTGAAGGTTTCTCCTTTTCCAGAACCGATTCTGATCGAGCAGATCTGTTTCATTCAGAACCTATTTGGACCAGTATGGCCTTTCACAATAAAAGCCCTGCTTTAGCTGGCATCAGAAGGGATTTTATTTTGGAAGGAAGCAGGCTCTGTGACCTCCGACCTCTGCTGCAGAGAGGTTCCATCACGTGAGACAGACTGCAGGGTCCACATGGACCGCCTGACCCGGTTCCAGCCCAGAACCTAAATGCAGCACGGGCCTAAAAATAATCCATAGTAATCCTGGAAGAGCCAGGTCGGCATTCCCGCTCACAGGGGGCGGAGCGAAAGGGGCGGGGCTTACAGACAGGAAGCGAAAATAATGAGTTTCAATCAGTAGTGTGCTCTGATTGGTTCGTTTGGATCTCAGCAGGCAACATGCTGGGCTTGCAGTTCGGACAGGTACAAACCATCAGCAGAATATGGATCAGAACCGAGTAGTTCATCTCGTAGTAGTTGAACATTTAGATCTGGACCGGACAGTTCTGAGCTGGTTCTGAAATGGGCCATGAAGCTGTTCTACTGGTTCTGCTTTAATCCCCAAAACACTTCCAGTTCTCCACCAGGTTCTACTCTGGTTCTGGTGCTGTCAGTTCTAACTGGATCCAGGAGCTGAGTCGATCCGGTGAATCAGAACCAGAACCAGGCTGTTGTCAGTCCGCTGACTGGAGGAAGGAGCAGATTAGTGGGGATCAGCTCGTTAAGCCTCTAATTGGTGGCTGGCAGGTGGGGGCGGGGCGTAAAGGTGAGCCAACAGGTGGCAGATGGCCAGGGAACCGTCAACCGGGTCAGAACCGACCCAACAAAACAGACTGTATCGGTTACATCCAGACTCCCAACACTAAATTATTCTCTTATTATAAATGATAATAGTGAAGACTGGGCCGAGGGCGGCCATGTTGGTTCTGGGCGACCCGGGCCTTCCTCACAGCGATCCGGTCCGGGAGCAGCAGGCAAAGGAGAGCTTCCTCTGCAACTCGACTCCTGATCTCTCGGCACTGCTGCAGCACACCTGGCAGGTACGGTTACATCACACCGTCGCCCCGGCAACTGCACAAACAAGGCGTCTCCCGGGAAACGCCTGGTAACAGTTACAGCGGCAGGACGACGAGCCGATTGGTCAGGGAGGTCATCTCACTTAACAAGCACCGCCCCCAGGCCGACCAGAACCAGAACCAGGCAGGTCAGAACTCCAGAACATAGAAACGGGTTCTGGTTCTACTGACTGAACCCATTCCAGTCAGAAAATCCAGAACCAAACAGCTGGACCAGAACCAGAACTCCTGGTCCTCAGGAACCGCCCACTATCGCCCCATGCTTCCTCCGACAGCACAACCCAGTCGAATCAGAACCAGTGAGTGGTTCTGATACGAACCGGACCGCCTTGACTTCAGATCAATCAGTTCTACATGTAGACAGTCAACAGAACCAGAACCACCAGAACCCCAGGAACTGGATCCAGAACCACCAAGAACTCCTGTTCAGAACAAGGGTGAGTCCAAACGGGACCACTCTGGTTCCTGATTGGATCAGCTGCTCCTGATTAGCAGGTCAGCTGACCTCAAATCTGCTCTGGTCACAGAACCAGAAGCTTTCAGTGGTTCCACTTGGTTGGTTCCTGTCCATTCAAGTTCTGTCTTTAAATCTTATGAACCATCCGGTACCAGCTGGAGGTTCTGCTGGTGTTTCTGACATTCCTCCGTGTCCGTCCAGACCCCGAACCTCCCAGTCCACCTGTGTTTGTTTTTGGGAGGAGCTGAAGCGGCTCTCGGAGAATTAAAGCGAGCTTACCTGCAGCTCTGGACTCATCCACCGGTCCGGACCGGGTCAGAACCGCATGGCTCAGTTCACCGGTTCGGGTCGGTTCCCGTTCCGACAGCGGCGGCTTAGTGGAAACTGTTGGACTCCGGTCCGGTTCGGCTTACAGCAGCTTTCTGCAAAGCAGCGAGGGTCAAACTGTCCCTGAGCGCTGACTGACAGGCAGCGCGGCGCCCTGGCCACGCCCCTCCGGACTTTCAAAATAAAATCGCAGCTTTACCAAATAAAACTGAAGTTGTTAAATAAACATTAAAAATATTAATATTTTAAACTTTATAGCTTTCTGCAGTCATAAAGTTTTCCTTTAACAAGAAGGAAAAATGTGAAATCTGAAAATATTTAAAAATGTACAAATAATCTAAGCTTCAGTAACACAATGCCTGTAAATCATTTATTCTCCAGAAGAAAAAATGAAACGTTCTCTACGGCTTAAAATAAAAATAAAAAAAGTCTTAAGCTTTAATCTGATTCTCTGCTCATAATTTGTTGAAACAATTTAATCTAATTCATTTATTTTAATATAAAATAGTTTTAAAAATCATATCTTCCAACCAACTTGGTTTAAAACTTTCCAGAACCAGAACCCCAGTTTGGACAGGAGGTTCTGTCCAGTTTTATTCTTCCATAAATAGAACTGAATCTATAAAAATCAGAATTATGGTGCTCCAATGTGAACGTTTTCTCATAGCCAAGTTTCAAATATTCCGTCTCAAAGTAAAACCTGGGAATAATTTTCGGTTCTAAACTCAAACGTTGCTATAATCTCAGACTAAATCAGATGAAAATAATACAAAACCTGCAGCATCTTCACCAACTGAGACATAAATCTGCCAGTCGCAGCTCAGTGATGCTCTACCGCCCTCTGCCGGACAACTAAAGCCCTGCAACAGAAACAAATGCGCTCCTGATGTCGCAAATCATTATTGATCAGTCCCATCTGATCAGTTATTGATCGGTTTTTATTTGATGAACCAGAGTTCAGATCATCCAAGAATCATTTTAGGGCTGGCCTGAAACAAAGATCATTATCAAGACTGCTGCTTGGTTTATTAGACCAAAATTAATTCCAATAGATGAACCACGGAACGAAGCTAAAGTTGGTTCCGATCCGGAGATGGCTAAAGGCGATTCCACCCAATTATTCACTGGCTTCCGCATCTTTAAGCAACTCTAGTTTTAAAAAAATACAACACCTAGACACTTCAAACCTGGACTGGGTTATTCTGCTATAATAGCAGAATATTTAAAACAATGTTTGGGATTTGTGAAACATTACTTAACAGACCGCTGCTGATCTTTCCTTCCAACAGCCATCACCATCTACAATAACACTTTGAAGAATTAATGAGTTGCACCAACATTTAATTTCCTTTGGGATTAATTGAATTTGAACAAACCTGCATGGAGCAAGTGTGAATAGTCATCAGAACTTTATTGAAGTTTCACAAATCCCAAACATGGTTTTAAATATTCTGCTGTTAGAGCAGAATAACCCAGTCCAGGTTTGGAGTGTCCAGGTGTTGTAGTTTTTTTTAACTAGAGTTGATTAAAGATGCGGAAAGTCGTGAATAATTAGGTGGAATCGCCCTTTAGCCATTTCCCGAATCGAACCAACTTCAGCTTCGTAACCACGGAACCATTAGGACAGCAGCAGAATTCACCTGCTCTGGGACTGCAGACCTGCAGCGTCTGGAGAACCGGATGGACTAATCGGACTCAGCAAATGTTCCTCAGGAAGGCCGCAGTCTTGAGTGACAGTTAGGGCTAGCGGTGCTATGCTAGCTGCTAAATATGCTCGTCATGCAGGGGTTAACTCACCCTACCGTATTCAGGGCTTTTATGCACGTTGCTGAGTCTTTTCAAACACCAATATCTCTTCCACATTGATGAAAATATACACACGGGATCGATTTCTGAAAGTTTTCAACCAACTGAACCCGAGCAAATCCGTCTGATCGTAGTTTTAAACTTCTCGCTCCCAAAGCGGGCAGTTTAGCGCAAGCCAAAACCTGCCAGCCAATCAGATTGCTTTGAGACAACCAGCACTTCCTGTTATGAATTCAACATAGCGCCAGGGTTTTGTTTTTTTTTTTATAAAGGTTTATTTATAAATTAAACTGCTTTTAAACAGCGTATTAGTAAAACTCAGGACAATGTGATTAGGAATTATGTCAAAGCAACTGTGTGGAAATATTACCGCTTTTTTTTGTCTCAGACCATAAAGCGCGGGAACCTGAATCTTCCCATAAACAAACAAAAATATGGAGTTTTCTCACATCTCCACTTTGGTCGGAGTTGTATAAATCATTTTTAGTGATATTCAACTCAGTTTTCTACTGGATTTAAGGCCAAATCTAATACAAATGTCTCAGTTTTCCCAGATATGCAGCTGTGTGTGGACTAACCTGGAAAAAGAACCCTTAGATCATCAAGCCTGCTAGGAGACAGCGGTTCTGAAGCCTGAGCGGAACCAGAACCACACACTGGGACAGGAAGTTTTCATAAAGTTTTTATTGGTCTAAATGTCCCAAGCTTCCTGCACCCACAGAAACACACACACACACACACCAGTGGTGGAGACTCACCTGAAGTCATGTGACTTCAGGTGAGTCTGTTTATTTCACCATTCAAACATAGTGCAACATTACCTGTGAGCGGAGGGAGGTCACATGACCTGCTGACCCTCAGACACCTGAGGGTTCCCCTGGAGATGGACCCAGTCTGACCAACCAGAACCTCCAAGAACTTCTGAGCCTCTTATAGATTACAAAACCTATTCATACCTGCAGGTCAACAAGATCCTGATGAACAACCAATCAGAACCAACCAATAAACCAGAACCAATCAACCAATCAGAGGCTTTCTAACGTCTCACTGTATCTCAGGTCCACATGTTGGAGCGTCTCAGCCTGAGATCACAGTTCTGCAGAATCATGACCCGGGTCAGAACACAGAACTGTCCAGGTGAAGTTCAAACTTTCATTGATCATCTACTCAGACCCAGTTCTGGTTCTGATCCAGAAGCAAATCCAACCCGGTTCTGCACCAGAACCAGCTGCTACCTACTAATCACAGGACTTCTATCAGAATCAGTGGTTTGGTTCTGCTTGGATCAGTCCAGAACAGAACCTCTGGATCAGAACCGCTCTGTGATTCTGATTTGGTTCTGGTGATTCTCCATGAGCCTGGTGAGTCCAGACTCCACCAGGTTTAGTCGGGTTCTGCCAGCTCCCAGATGCCTGTCCTAAAGTGGGCGTAGCCCCGTCTGTGATGTCACGGCGCCGCTGCAGCTCAGGACACCTGGATGACCTCCATGCTGCCGGAGAAGCCTGGCCGGGTCGGAACCGGCCTCATGTCCTCTCTGGACCCGTCCAGCTGGCAGCTGCGCCTCTTCAGTTGCTTCTCGAAGCTGCTCTCTTCGTGCCAGCTGCGCCGCGAGTTGCCGCGGTCGCCGGCCCGTTGCCGGCGCCGGACCGCCTCCAGGCCGGCACCACAGCCCAGCGGGCCGAATCCAGCACCACTCAGGACCGACCCAGACGAGTAGAACCGCGTAGTTTCAGAAGACAGGTACCAGCCGGCGGTCAGTGAGGAGGCGGACACCGCCACGGGCCCCAGCAGGATGTCCGAGTGCCAGCCCTTCAGAGCTGAACCGGAACCAGAACCGGAGCCGGGTCGGGCCAGCTGCTGCTGGCTGCGGGACAGGCCCAGCAGGAAGCTGGTGCTGCTCTCCTCCATGCTGCCGGAGCGCTGCAGGTGCTGCGGGCCGGCCGGGGCTTTGGGGGCGGGGCTAGAGCCCGGCTGGCCTGTGGGGGCGGGACAGGAGCCTGGCGAGGCCTCCCGGTCGGGTCCGCTGACCCGGTCTGGCCCGGACGCCTCCTCCTGGTCTGGGCTCGGCTCCGGGGTCGACTGCTCCGACACTTCCTCCACTGGGGAGAACTGGCACGCCTTGCTGCTCGGCGCCGCCTTGTAGAAGTCATCGCCCGGGCTGCCATGTGGCCCAAAGGCGCGGTGGGCGGGGCTCGTACCAGGCCCGGTGTGCGGCCCAAAGGCGCGGTGGGCGGGGCTCGCGCCCGGCTCTCCGAATGCCTTGATGTCCAGGGAGAAGGAGCGCTTGAGGCGGGCGCTGTCCTCAGACCCGTCCGCCAGCTGGGCGCCGCCCAGAGCCTCGGCCAGCTGATCAGCCGGGTCGCAGGGCGGGGGCTGGGGCTCCGAAGGAGGCTCTGCCCCCTGCTGTCCGGCCAGAAGCCCGGCACCGGGTGGGTCGGGTTGGCTCTCGGAACCGTCCAGACTCTTGATGTTCTTCTCAAAGTCTAGCAGCTGACCCAGGAAGTTGAAGTTGGGTGAGATGGTCGGCCGCTTCTCTTTCACGAACCTGACGGAGAGAGAGGGGTCAGAGGGCGGGAGCCATGATAACATTGTGCTGGTGGCGGTTCTGGTTCTGACCGGTAGGCCTCATCCAGAGACATGTCCATCCGTTTCATGATGTAGGCGATGGCGATGGTGGCAGAGCGGGAGATTCCTGCCAGGCAGTGGACCAGAACCCGGCCGTCCGATGCCTTGGCTTTCTCTGAAACACACAGAGCGGGTTGAGCAGAGCCAGAACCAGAACCAGAACCAGAGAGCCCACTGAGGATGGACACACACCTATGAAATCCAGGGACCGGTCCAGCCAGGGCAGAATCTTCTCGCAGAAGGAGTCGTTGACGGGAACCCGGAGGAAGTGGGATTCTGGGACGAAGTCCGGTTTAGGGCAGGTGTTGCTGGCGTTCAGGACGAAGGCGATGTCGTTCTGCTGCATCAGCTCCTGCAACAGAACCGGGTCAGTACCGAGTCAGAACCAAGGCATCCTGCAGCTGGACAGCTCCCCACCTTGTTCAGGACGTCCCTCTGGCAGCCCAGGTACAAGTGTGGCAGGATCCGGGTTGGGCCCAGGCTGGAGATAGCCGGGCCGGACTGGGACGGGCAGGACGGAACCAGAACCGACTTCCCCTCGCACAGGCCCGGAAACAGCTGGGAGAACTCACAGAACCCGCCTGACACCAGAACCAGAACCACAAGATGAGAAAGTCTGAAGCAAGCTTACGGCTAATTGATGCTTCATGACATAGTTATGATTCATGACATTTTTCAGTTTCTCAGCCTTAGAACTTTTACTAGGACATTATCATGTAGCTAAAGGCACCCAGCCTGCAGCT